CTTGCAACTTTTTTTGCTGAAATAGCCGTTGTAACATTAATCATGCTCGGAATGCCATCACAGGTTTTCTAATGAATGTGAAACTTTGCATTGGCAATAAACGGAGAAGGCACCAAAAACAACCCTAACAATGGAAAATAAAACTTGCAAATAAGGTTAAATGTGACACAAAGATGTATTTTCAAGGTTTGCATTGCAAACTTTGCATGGGCCCTGTGAATACGGTAAGTGTTCGGTCAGACATACGCAAGAAAACATTTAAGAAATAACGCAAGAGAAGTGTTCCCGACGGTACAATCATTGCCAAACATACGTGTCCCGATGTCTTTGCACGTCAGGAAATCGTAAACGTAAAAAAGCCCCTTGAACAAACGTTTAAACAAGTATATAGAAAAGATCAACAATGAAAAAGAAATTATCCTATTCCCTTTCAATTCATTATTTCGTTGCATCTTGTTTCCCTCAAATCAGTTGATTTGTAACATTGTAAATTTTACAGTCATCAAGATTTTTTTTGGGGGGGGGGGAATGAACCTCGGAGAAAAATAGAAAAAAATATCGATTAAAAAATCTTACTAATTTAAATGACCAAACGATGAAAGCGATTGCCCATAAACGAATAAGAAACGAAAAGCATGGTTATACGTGATAAACGCACAGATGTTCGCTAATTTGAATGCGTCAACCGTCAAAAGGTTGCAAAGACTTAATTTAAGACTGCTACAAGTCAAGTCTTGAATGCACCAAAACGAAATAGGCTGCCCGAAAACGAACATTCACAGCAAAATCTTGGCTGCCTAAAAATGAAATTAATGATCCCCAAATGAAAAAGAAACCCCAATTAGACCACATGTGCAAAACTCACGCGAAATTGAATGGCTGATAATGAAACTGATCAGAAAAATTCGGAAATTCGCCGGGAAAACCTATATTACGTTACTTTAGATATATGTATATCGTAATAATGAGAAAGGATTTTTAAAACTTGCTTACGTTTGTTGACGCTTAATAACATGACCGAATTTACAGTAAGTTGGTGATATAAAAAAAAAAACTCTTATAAAGTAGATGGTTCAGCCATCCCAATCTCACATTAAGAATGCACATTTTAAGTATTTTTGTTTTGTTGAAAAGGTAAAAAATTATAATTATAGTTATCAGAAAAATGTTAGGGGTTTATAACTCAAGCTGCTTTTGATTTTTTTTTTAAGCAAATGGCCCACGTGAAATATAAAGACTTGAAAAAAAATTTCACTTCAAGTTAAAATCATACAAAATGCCAATGAGAAACAACGGCATATTCAATTTCACAATGTTCGAGTCACCCGCCCGATTTGCAAGTCTGCTTAAGTGGTCCAGCAACCCCCATCTCAGCAGCCCCCATCTTTCCCTGTAACTATTGACTACCGGGACACACAGCATAAGGCATACGGGGTCAAGAACATTCATTAACCTCGGCATTTTAAACATTTTAAATACCAGCATTACTTCAGGTATATAATTCCAAAAAACTTGTCGGAATTAAAAGTTTATCAAAATTGGACGGAAGAAAATCTAAATTTTTGATAACAGCAAATTTAAAATTCAGAAAGAGGACTTCATTTCAACCATAATTCTGTTTTTGTTCTAGCAGATTTGTGAGAAAATGCGTTATTTTTTTTGTTTTATCCCGTGAATATCCCAAATTTCTTTTACCATATCACCCTTATAAGATAATATAACTAACTCCATGTCTCGGAGATGCCACCAATATATTAATAAAAATCCTTGAAACATTACATAAGAAAAGTAGTGTTAAAAACACAAATGCCCCGCAACCATGCCAATTTCCATGACATAACACCACTCTTAACACATGTCATAACACCATGTCATAACACCATGACATTAACATCAACTTACCTGGGTCACATGGAACGTTCACTGACATCGTTATTGTGTTCTTTAGGCTATATACGTAATGTATTGATGCCAATGATCCCATAATTAATTTTTGGTTTTTGCTTCTCTGTTGGGAAGTCATTGTATGTGATTTAAGCAAACTGACTGGATATCTTCAGTCTTAAGCAAGACATTTCTCAAAGACAAATCCTTTTAGCATAATCCTTTGAGAATTTACAAGGCCTACATGGAAATAAGAATTTTTAAATAATCAAAAGAAAATATGCTTATTTGAATAAGCTTGAGTTATCATTATGACATCATTTCTTTGGTTTTTAATAATGAAAACAGTTGGCCTATGGGGTCCTAAAGTGACTCAAGATCCTAAGAACAACCTACAGAGCTGCATAAACATGTACTAAGGTGCAAGTCTCAAGTTTTAGTAATACATGTACACGTACATGTGTTTGTTTTCTGTTGTTTCAATTCAAAATATGACTGTCCAAGAAAAAAGGGTGGAGAAGCCTGATTATACAAAAAAACATAAAGTGTACAGGCCCCCTAATATTTTAGTGAGTGATTACATTTGCACATGTATACTGGTTTGGTAAAAAAAAATATATAATAAAATCCTATTGTTTTAATCCTAATGACCTTGGCCTTTGTCTTATGGGGTCCAAAACTTATAAGTTATACTAGCAAGCTACCTTCATTGTATCAAGGTTCAAGACATACATGGACATACAATCCAGATATCGCTGTGGAACCAAATGCACACGCACACACACCCACGCTTACATAGGCATAGAAGTGGGGTACTTCCTTTGTTCTCGTGTACGTAAATGGTAAGTATAAGTCGGAGCGGCATTGGCCATTGTCACCCTTAAACATATCTTTCTTTCGGAGCATGTTAAGGTAGAGTAAATATCAACAATTATACCTTGGAGTAGATAACACAATTATACCTTGGGGAAAGCTTCTTCTTTTCTCCAATATTCTTTCCAGTCAAAATATTCGACGAATGTGGACCAAAAAGCTAGATTATCTTTAAGAATTACAAAGCGACCTTCTTTAGTTTGTATTATCAATGTCGGTTTTCCAACTGCGCATGCGACTATCCAAAGCTTTGACGATTTAACTTAAGGACGCAAAAGCAGACAAGGAGCATAAGACCATTTAGAGATGATTAAGAAAATCATAGTAACTTTAACATGCAATAGAAAAGAAGGAGATTTATGGCGCTCCGGGTTTTGCATTGGTGTCGATATGACGTCATACTTACGTAGGAGACTACGCGGCCGTACGCAAGAAATCACTGAATTTGAATCTTACCTACGACATACCACTTATACGTCATGGTTATGTCAATCTTCATCGCACATCAGCCACCTTGTTTATTCATAGGCCATCTTTACAAGAGCGTTCTTGTAGTGCTTGTGTAACGCCAGACCCTGCAAGGGAAATTGATATTCTTTTTTTTTCACTAAATACAAAGAGAAAACCAACCCTAGTGATACCAATGGTCCTTAAAGTTTGACCGCCGCCTCAAAAAATATTAGCAGCCGTCTCGTGTTATATGCACCCTGTTAATGTACAACATTTGCTTTTGCTGCAATTTTCAGAAATAAATGGGTTTGGAGGATTAGTATGTTATAAGCAATATTGTTAAAATGACTTGTTTCACGTTTTGGGCTTGTAGATGTTGGAAAAACCAAGGAAACCAATCCTGTTCTTGTAGTCTGGTCCCCCGACCCCACTTAAGATGAAACGGAGCAATATATAGACTTTTGGGAATTGTGAAGTCAGAGAATCAGTCTAGCAGGCTTGTACCCCTTCACAGGTGTGCAATCAAGTGCAAAGAAAACAATGAATAACTAATTATGAAAAGTTAGAAGCAGGTTTTGAAAAAAGCCAGATTTTTCCAACGCTGGTCGGCGACCAGCGCGTGGAAAAATACCATTTTTCTTGAGAATGATAGCACACCAGGAGCCACGACTTCACAGGATGCTTTAAGACTGTCATCTATCAATCCAGTAAGGTATTTCATGATAATTTGATCATTTCGTTTTGTGATGTTTGCAAATGTTGTATCTTCCCTTTAACTTTTTTTAAACGACACATATTGAGTGATATCAGAAATAAAACATCTCTTGTTCTGATCGACAGGAACAACAAATAGCAACTTATTTATGACAAGCAAAAAAATATGTACATGCATTTCAAGAAATGTTTAACAAAATTTCCACACTTTCCCCTAGCTTCGAAATATTTTCTGGCCAGATATTGTCGGGTCATTTTCAAGGAAGGAAAAGTCTTCCCGCTTCAAATGTCTTGCAGCATCTGTGGTTCTTATTCTGTCTCCATTAATAACCTGTATTTTAAATAACGTTTCTCCCCGCCAATAATTAATTGCATTCAACGTTGCCATAACGACAAGGAAATTGCGTGGAATATGCCGCCGGTTTTCCTCCCAATTACATGATTTGATTCGCCTACGGACCAAAAATACATGTTGTGATTTTGAAATTGTATTGAAAACGTTTCTTTTTTCCTCCAACAAATAAATTTAATTCAAAGTTGTCACAGCAACCACAAAATTGCATGAAATATGCAGACGGTCTTCATCCAATTAGTGGATTGCGATACGCCTCGGAACGGACGGGGATGAAAACGCATCTTGAATGGTTGTATTTGGCGATTCCCCCACTGCAGAGTACGGAAATACACTGCTGCGTGCTGTGTGGATATCAAACTGAATTTTAGTCTTATGGGGGCAGGGTCTTGAGTGAAATTGATGGGGATGATAGATCATCAACTGTTTTAAATACAGAAACAGAACAAAACAACGATAAGCATTTACTGACTGATTGTTTCCAACCGTTTTTACCCAAGACACTCGAAATTTATTATATTACTCGAAAATATTCCCTAAAATGTCGAGACATATTAATTATATCCAATACAATCTTGATGACCTTGCTGGCTGTTAACTCAGCGAAGGCCACACGGGTAATTTAATTTACGACTGCCCCGTACTGGCACCTAAGTGACCATTTAAAAAATATCGACAAACTGACAATAGGCATATGCACGCACACACACACGGACGACAAGGCGGAAACAGTATGCCCCTTCGGCTCCGCCGGCGGGGCATAAAAAACCTGTAAACTACCCTTTCCTTTTCCACAGATGTGTTTTCTTGATGTTTCAGACTGAATCCAGCAGTTTTTATTTTGTCACATTTTTGGAGAAAAAAAAACCCCACCCCAAATTCAGGTTAAGACCTTGAAAGTGGCATTGTGACCACAGAAAGAGATTTCTTGCTCTCGTGATAAGACTGTCGGAACACGACAGCCAGATTTGGCGGAGAGTCTCTCTATCTACTTGGAAGCAGGTAAATATCACGTTTTCAATATTAATTGTACAACTTCATACTTCGACACTTTGTGTCATGCCGACAATTAATAGTAAATGGCGTCATTTTACCATCGAGGAAGGCGGATTCAGCTTGGCGTGTGTAAAACCTGACTAGTAAGATTTGAGGCTTTGCATGGTGGAGATACTAAATAAAGCAAGGTTTGCGGAAACACCATGTGCGAATAATTTCTCAACCAAGAGAATGGTTCGGAAAAGAACCAGAGGTATAAACTCGACGTTCTGGTCAGTATGCTCTGACCGTCTTAAGGAGAGTGCCTTAAACTCTAAAGAAAGTAAATACTTAAGTAGCAAAAGCGAAATCGATGAAGTGTGAAGTTGCATCCTGTGTGGATGCGAAGTAGCTGGGATCCTAGAGCAAGCTTGGTGCCGACTGAAGTGGAACAGTAGGTCTCAGTACAGGGAGGACCTAGTTGTATAAGGAGACCCATCTAGCAACTAACGGTTACAAATAGCCTGACTAGCAACTAACAGTTACAAATAATCAAATACTAAATTATTTGAAAATTGACAGCTCACACACTTTAACGGGCTTCAGACATTATTTTAATCTTTTCTGATCACAAAATGTTATCAGTGAATAACCATGCAAGCACATAAATCACATCTCGAGGATAATAATAATAATAATAATAATAATACCGGTGCTTATATTAGCGCAGTTCCAAATTAACGATCAAAGCGCTTTACAAACAAAAACAAAGAAAAATAAACAGATACATTGAAAGAGTAAATCACAAAAGAGATCAGGCAAACAGGTGCGTTTTGAGGAGGCTTCTGAATGTTTATGGGATAGGAGCCAGTCTGATGGTTGATGGGAGATCATTCCACAATCTAGGGGAACAGATAGAGAATGACCTCTCCGCAACCATCCTTTGGCCCCTAGGCACTACGAGCCCGGGTTGTGTCTGTGGCAGAGCGTAATCCGGGTCGTGAAGGTTTGTAGGATGAAATGCTGTTCGAGAGGTATATGGGAGTGAGACCGTGGATTGACTTTTATACCATATAACAGGATTTTGAAAATAATGCGTTGTCCGATCGGAAGCCAGTGAAGAGATCGCAATAGTGGAGTACAGGGATGTCGACGAGGAACTTGTACGAGGCAGCCCTGTTCTGTAGACGCTGCAGTCTTGAGATGTCAGAGCTGCTGCAACCGGCCAAAAGAGAGTTGGCATAGTCTAGTCTAGACAGAATCAAGGCCCTCATAGCACGAGTACAGCTTTCCTGGTCGATGAAGCGACGAATTCTGGAGATGTTGCGTGGATTGATGCCTGAGGAACCCATGGACAACATTGAACCAGATTGTGAGCGTCACATTGAAGGAGCCGGATCAGCAAAAGGACAAGCCATTAGGGAACAAATAGAGGTCGAGTACCGCAACAGGCACAACATAAATTGAAACCGATCCTTATTTTAATAAGGATCGATTCCCAGTGTACTAGCAACTGAGTTATCCAACACGGGCGATCTCCAGTACAGTGCCAATACCAAGAAGTTGCTTTGGAGAGTCAAGTTTTGAAGTTTACGGTTGAGAAATAAAAGGGTGCAGGTCAACTCTCTACTCTAATCGAGTTCTCTGCTAACATTAGTCCCAACGAGTGCGTTTGATTACTTCCCCCACGCTTACTCATGCAAGTGCGACAGCGTTCGATTTACTCTCACGTCCGGGACTTCTCGTGCTTAAATCGAGCCTGGGCCAAGTAACCGACTCGCCGAGCCTGTTACTTGGGTAAGTATCCCTCCCATAAGGCCAAGCAATAAACATGGCTGCCAACGTGACGTCCGGCGGTCCCAGGCGCCCTGAGGCCGTGTCCGAAACGGGCTTCAAGAGCTACGGCTCCGGGTCTCATATTGTCAGCATGGTCCCCGTATTCAATGGGCGTGGACCCTAGACCTAGCTCTAGATAGTTGATTCGGATGCTGGTGTGTCATGTCAAAGTTAAACTTTCCAGCTCTTCTTGCACGAAACGTTACCCGAAACCGTTCGTTTAGTTAGCTCCACTGCGCTATCTGTCATCCCGCGATGAGCCAAGCGCGAGTAAGCTTGGGGAAGTAATCAAACGCACTCATTATAAAGCAAAGAACCAGTCAACTCTGTACCGAACCACTCAGTCCGAGTCAACTCGGTCCCCATGGGGGAAAAAACCAACCTGTACACAAATAAAGATCAGGATCTTATATTTGTACCACAATGCATTGTGAAAGAGTGGACTCTCCGCGGCTTCGTCTAGGTTGCACACTGTATTTGGGAATCGCCGGTATGGCCACATGCTTTTGGAAATAATAACTGAGGATTTTAACCAACAAATGCATTTTCTTGGGTAAAAGCACATAAATTATTTGAATGTGGAAAAAAAAGGGACAATCCGAAAGAATACACACAGAACTATATTAATTATCATAGAGCTATATTACATACCACAGGGCTATATTGAATACATGAAGCTTTATTTAATACCATAGAGCTATGGAGATATATTTATTCACTAGAGCGCTAAACTCATTCTTACACACGGAGATATGTAGATATGGCCCAAGTCTTGAATTGCACTCGGTCTGTGCATAAAAGCACGTTTAGCGCAGACGGTCCACACAAGCCCTCATGCTTTGAATCTGGATCAAAACGTTAAAAAGTGCCCATACAAATTATTTTCATGCGAGTTGGTAAATTTTGAATCACATGTATGCAAAGACTCTGCACTCATTATACACGTGTGTGTTCGCGCAATGTTAGATTGCATTGAAAGTTGAACGCATATTTAAGTGTAACTTAATTGTCCCGCTTCTGGAAGGATGTAAACTAAGTGGTTTTGTGATTATTTTATTATTTTGTTTGTACATGTTTTCAGATACCAACATAAAGCAGTTCCGACTTTGAGTCGAGCCTAAGAGATACGTTGAATCCTTCCTGTACGCGTGTGTGTTTTTAGAACACAATTAAGTTTGATGGAGTGAATTGTGAATGTGTACTCAAATGCGATGCGTAAAAACAACAAACGTTAACAACTTACACGCCATAAAGGTAAAAAACAAACAAACAGCATTTGCGTCGTTATGCAGAGCAATATGAAACGCTCCTTTCCTGATTGTGCATTTCGTTTTTGAGCGTATCGGCATCATCAATACCACGCAGGAACACAAACATAATATGCAAATAGCCGTACACAAGCCTTTCTATAGCTGAACAAAAGCCGAACAAAATTTGTGAGTTTTCCATAGGTTCGAGTACAAATATGTATGCGCCTAGCAGATATTGCTCTGTACATCAAAGTCAGCACTCTCGCTCTGATAATTATATAGATTATAAGATAGCAAACCCTTGCAAACCCCCACCTGTGACAGTCAGCCAACGAAACCTGCCAACAGCAACAGCCCCCTCCATCGTATGCGGAGATTTTCAATAGCCGTCACACAAATTGAGGTTACCCTGGCATAAAACCTGGATGAGAAAGCCGTTGCTCGTTGGGCTGAGACACAAGACCTTCACCTGCTCTACGATGCAAAAGATAACCCCACATTCTTTTCCAGTCGACACAAGAAGTGGTCCAACCCAGACTTGAGCTTTGTATCCTCTGATATCACACCAAACTGTGCACGCATAGTCCTCAACAGGTTCCCCCCGTTCTGGTCACTGCCCCATCATAATTGGCAACAACAGATCACAAGCCTCAACAAGAAGAGGTGGAACTTCAGAAAGGCAGACTGGACCAAGTTTGCGTCACCTCACTGGCTCCCTCTCCCAAGACCTCCCCAGTCCAACAGGGAACTCATCCGAGGCATACACGGCATTCACCACAATGCTCTCCGTCGCCGCAAAGTCATCCATCCCTCGTGGCAGGCGTGGCCAATACGATCCCATGCTGGGATGCCGAATGCAACGCAGCCCTGAAAGATAACAAATGATGCCAGAGCGAGTGAGAAGGCCGAATAGAGCAGGTTGCTCATAAATGTCCTCGGCGAGAAAAAAAACCTGAGAGGTGGACAGAAATTTATAAACAACATTGATTTCAACCACTCTAGCCGCAAGGGCTGGGCTACCATCAACCGCCTTACCGGACGTAGCAGTAAAGCAAAGCCTTGCCCTGTCTCTGCTAACTCCATCGCGACCACACTAGTGAAACATTGAGAAGTGGAAAGACCATGGCAAGGAGGCGAAAGCTCACAACCACAAAGTGAATGCAGAGATAAGGGAATCCATCAAGAACCAACTAGCCACCAGCGGACTATCTGGGCCTATCGCAACGAAGCAGCTCCTCGACGCAATCTCCTGCTTGAAGAATGGCAAAGCATGGTACACTCAGAGATTCTGACCAACATGGGTCCGCAGGCGACCGAGTGGCTTCGTGTGTTCTTATCCATCCCTGCTATATGGCGGCAGGCTAAAGTCACTGCTATCTTAAAACCAAAGAAACCTGCTGTGATCCAAAAAGCTACCGCCCTTATCTCACTCCTTTGCATGCCTTTAAACTGTTGGAAAGGATTGCTAGCCCGCATCAGTAGCATTGTTGAACTTCATCTACCACATGCTCAGGCTGGTTTCCGCAAAGGTAGATCCACCACAGACCAGTTACTGCGCCTCGTCAACGACATTGAAGCCGCATTCCAGAGGAAATAACAGTTTGGGGCTATATTCGTCGACCTCACAGCCGCGTACAACACCGTATGGCACCGTGGCCTCGACATCAAGCTACTCATGTCAAGTTCATCATGATCATTATGATCAGAATCGCTCCTTCTTTGTGGAAACATCTAGTGGTGACCGGAGTAGGAGGCGTCGGCTCCGAGATGGCTTGCGCACGGCTCTGTCTGGACACCCATACTGTTCAATACCTACACAGCCGACTTTCCGCGTACTGTATCTGATCAGTATATCTATGCGGATGATAGTGCCCTTGGCTATCCCGACAAGTCATTTTAGGCAATCCAACGCACCCTCAACACGGACCTCGCAGCCCTAATGTGGCTACTTCCAACAATGGCACCAGAAACAGAGTGAATCAAAAACTGTCTGCTCAGCTTGCCATCAGACTAGCGAGGAAGAAGCTGACCGTCACACTGAATGGCACGAAACTGAAGTTTGACCCTGAGCCAGTCTACCTAGGGGTCTCGCTTGATCGAAGCCTCACCTTCGGCCCACACCTAAAAAAGGTAGCTGAAAAGACATCGAAGCGGGTCAAAGAAGCTTGCTGGCACCAACTGGGGTGCTGATTTCACAACGCTTTGCACCTCATCTACTGCCCTGGGTGTATTCCACAGCAGAGTACGCTGCTCTCCAGCCTGGTCTCATAGCTGCCACACCAAAAGGATTGACGCTGTGATCAATGACGCCCTGCGCCTCATCTCAGACTGCATGACACCTACACCCACAGTTATGCTGCCGATCACTGCATGTATCCTCACACATATCCGGCGTGACCATCTCGTCCTCAAAGCAGCAGAGAAAGCTGACATACTGAGTAGCCTGGTGCCAATTATTGCCGATGATTGCCCCGCCTCGACACTTTGCTATCTGTGCCAAAGATCTCAGCAGCAGAGTCCCACTATCCCCCTTCTGGATGAATGAGAGATGGAAGGATGAATGAGAGATGGAAGGATAAATGGTAGAGGGCTAACACCACACTGCATGAGTTCATCAAAGAGCCTTCAGCCAAGCCTGTAGGGCTCCACCTCGAGCGCAAGTCTGGGTAAGGCTGAACCGCATCCGCACAGGGTGGGGAAAGACTCGCTCCTTCCTCCACCGAATTGGGGCTTGTGATGACGACAGCTGCCCTTGTGGGTTACCACAGACAATGGAACATATTCTGCAAGCCTGCCCAATCTTCAAGCCCCCTCATGGTCCCACCGGTCTGATCAATCGAGCTTGATGAAGAAACAGCCAAAGTGGCTGCAAGAATTGGACATTCCCGTGTGATTTTGCTACGGAAGAATCATACGAACGACGAAATGCAGTAAAGATAAAGCAACTGAAAATTAAAGGTCATGACACCTTTAATTTTTTTGTTTTTTTGGGGGGGGGGGATGACTGGACTAAACAATACTATGTCAATTGTGCAGGTAGTCATACTTCCTGGGATGCACTGTAAAAATGGTCTTTGCCGGGCAAGCTCTTGGTGGTGAACTGTATTGTAAAAACTAGCCATAAACCATAATTAGGCCGAAAATTAAAGCGGCATGTGTAAAGGCGCAGCGCGCACTGTGTTGCGTGAAAATCAATTTTATATTATTAGGTAATAAATGCATGCTTCGGAGGTTTTGGCAAGCACGTTGCAAATGTTTATTTCGTAAAATGTGTACTATGCGCCTAAATTAATCCAAATTTGATTGCGACTTGATTTTTTTTCTACTCCTAAAACTGCTGTGTGCTCTCTATGTCCGTCAAGTGTCCAGAGAAATAAATATGCACACATTTATTTACAGAGTATGCTTACTGGATACGCAACTGGTAAACGCACAACACACATCGAACACGAGCACATGGATCATCCTCCTCATTGGGCGGACGCAGCCGAGATGGATGCAACCAAAACTCTTCCAGACGCTCTTTGTCAAGCCAGGACAACTTACCTGTTAAAATTACATTGTTTTCACCCATGGCATTTTGTCTTGGTTTCATAAGTACTATACAATATTTTGTATATGAGTGTGCTGCTTATGCTCCTCTTTTGCGAATGTTATTTTTTCTCCCTCTGTCATCTTTCTCTTGGTTGGAGTTCTGATTGAATCGTTTTCTGGGAAAGGAGCACTTACTTTCTCTTCAGGAACACCTAGAATGGCAGCACAAAAACAAAAGTTGTGTTATTGCAAAGTAAAGCATTCATGTCTGACTTTGAATAAAACTCATTAATTAGCCACACATTTGGATACAAAGAAATGATACATTCTTTAAAATTCTTATCTCTCTGATGGCTAAGAATAAGTCGGATAGATTTTTATTTAGTACCAGTACGTAGCCTAATTTTTTTCAAAGCAAATGTGTCAACAGTCAACACTTTCACTGAAAATCTTCATTGAATCTTTAGCTCTGTTAAAGTGGGAAATATTATTTTCTTTACACATTAAAAGCAACTGAGATTCCAAACCTCTGACACGTACTTATGAGGGGAGTTCAATAAATTGGCTCTCTTGTAGTATAATGAGAGTTCTACAATAACATTAATTTCAGGCTATAATCCTTGTATAGGTCTCTCTCAAATGACGTCATTTACTACAGACCAGCCACGTGCATCATCATTTTGAGCGTCAACTTGCATTACGCGCATTGGCTGTGTCATATTTTGAACACGTTTCGAGCAACAAGCACGCGTGTTTGGAACATTTTTAACACTGCACAATGAGTGCTTTATTGCATAAAATACGCAGTTGGAGTTCTCCTACTTAGATAGCCATCTTTGAGAGAGACCTACAGAAAATTGCTTCAGGTCCGGGGGTGCCAAATGCAGTGCTGAATGACTCCGCTTATCAAAGATCCTAATAAAATAATAAAGGCAAATGTACAATCAATTTGAAATATACAAACTATCATAAAAGCAACGTTAAAAAACATGTTATGTAATCATTTTGTCTTAAACTGTATTTCTTTTACTTGTGAAGAGCTCATTCTAATTGAACAGCATTACAGATGTGTGGTTGCTAAGGCCTAAACGTCGCCATTGTTAAACAAAGTTAATCCAATTACGTACTTGGACGCTATAACAGAGCAGTGAAAATCATGCACCCCCCAAAAACATGGCCTTTTGAATGTTGAGTTTCTCAGAAAATATGCTCAGTATGATTGAAATGTTATAACAGAAGAAGAAATTCTAAACTTCATGTCAGTGAAAAAAATCGCCGTCATCGATGCCGCAACCGGTGGGGCAACCCAGGATTTGGCCCTGGGGGGGGGGGGGGGGCTTTCAATTTTTTTTTCTTCAAAAAAAAAAAAAAAATTGGGGGGGGGGGGGGGCACAGACTATTGACGTTGGTGGTGCCACTTACACCCCTATTATACTACTCGAAAAAAGGGCCACATACATATCACCAAGGTCAAATCGTAGGGGGGGGGGAATGAATAAAAAAACAAAATGACAACCTGGGGGGGGGGGGGGGCTGGGCTGAAGTGATTAGCGTCACTCGGCGTGACTTCCCTTGGGTCTCAGTATCGACCAATGGAAGCTGGCAAAATGGGTGATATTTAACAATTAATAATTCATGAAGAAGGCTTTTCTGCAAATTCTTATTTATTATTAATATTCGTGAGGCTTGAAAAGATTAACAGATATTCCAGTGTTACAACTTTTAAAAATGCACGTAACCAGGCCTATTTTTCCAATTTCAAAGAAAAATACTGAACATCTCAAAACAATTTTTAGCACATATTTTGGATCATTATAAGGGAAACAAACCCTGAGTTGCATGAAGATACAATTTTTAAAAACGCCTGCCATTGTGAACATGTCTGTGTGAATGTTGTTTTATTCAAAATAAAGTATTGCGTAACCTTTAGAAATCGGCCTTTGCAACCACACGGCTGAATATATAACAAATTATTGTTTCAGCTTGAATATTTGATTAATATGGATATTTGAGATTCTTGCAGCTTTCTAACATTGAAGAAGGTACAGAAAGCACTGCATCTTTTTCGTGCATTTTATTTGCTATTTTTTTTTTAGTTCATTTAAATTATAATATGTTTAATAACGTTCTCATGAGGAAATGCAAAAGTGATGTTTAGTTTATGGAAGTCCCTAACAGTCCTGAATTCTCCAATTTCACTACGATTTTGCACACCCCCTAGGGAGTTAGGGTTAAAGAAACAAAACAAAATGAAGCTGTCAACACAAAATATCTTTTGTCCATTGTTGTGTTCTTACCAGAGAAAGCGTCAATATGGGTTGGAGAATTCCTCCAAAGAGTCCTTCAATTTCTTTTCATCTAGCAACTCTAGCAGATGAAAAACAAATTACAAAAATAGTAAAAAAAAAAAGAAGATTACCCATACCACCAACAATTTAAAACACAGTGGTAGCCTGTCGTTTATGGCAACCAAGACGCAATTTTCAACTGCTATCATTACGGAACCGTCTCTGGTTCCCTGATACATAGTAGTCAAACATTAAACTATTTCAACTTCCGAAACTTTCTGGTTGGCTGGATAGTTAGAAATGAGCTGTTTTTTTTTCAAGCTAAAAGGTGATCTAAATGCTATAATGATGAAGGATATTTGGCCATATTCGTGTATTACTAAGTCTAACAATTATTTGGAAAAAGGCCTATGGCTAATGAGTACTATCGAGTAATGTTACTGTGCATGCACGCCTCACGTTAATGCGTTTTGTTGGAATAACTTATCCTGTTAAAAAGTGTCACAACAACCAGTCGCAGGTCCAAATTCTCTAAATCTAATTTGTGGCTCCAACTGCTAATGTTGAGCGATTGAATTTTGCTTGAGATACTCCATTTCTAGGCCTAGTATTACAAGTTTAAGCCCCTGTCACACTCGTCCGAATCGTCACTCCGTTCATGTTCCGAGTAAAACATTGTGGATTCGGTGTTTAATCGGTTTGAACTGAACTCAAACGGATTTCCCTCGGTTTTCCAACGCTATATACTCGTGTACGTTCGGTGATGCACTGAGGAACTCGGAGAAATTATTGAACCTGTTTAATAATTTCTCCGAATTGTCCCCGCAACCTCAATACGGACGGTATCCGGTATACACACGGAATATGCACGGAATGCACGGAATACACACTGTACTCATTCGTTGCAATGCAGAATAGGTACGGAAGAGTACGGAACAGGCCTCCGATTCCGATCGATAACCGTAAGTATTCAGAGTTCATTCCGAACCCACACCATTGTAATGCCGATCAAAAAACGGACGCACCGACTTTGATGTCACTTTATCCGATGATATACCGCATTCCGGTTCAGAGGGAGATCCAGGGACGACAAAGTTTGGCATGTCCGGTGATGATCGGAGAGGTTCTGAATATAGACGGATTGCAATCGGAATAGCAACGTATAAGATCCGGAATAAGACCGGATTATGATCGGTGTATTTTCATTTCTGGCTGTTCTTTTTACATTTCTCTCCGAATGTGTCCGAATTAATAATATTTCAGATCGGTTTATGAACGGAATTATAGATTCAGACAAGTGTGACAGGGGCTTTAGCATGACAAATTTTTGATTCGGAGAGGCTTCACAGTAAATTAAGGACATGCTGGACTGCCTCATGCCTATTTTACATTAAATATAATCGGTGCAAAGTAAGGAAAACCAAACCCACAACCAATCTCAATCAATATCAAATAAATAAAACACCACTTATATATTTAAAATACAATGCCATATTATAAATAATGCATCCATTAAATTTCATAGATATATATTCCCAAAAGAAGCAGACGCGTACGGATGTAGGCCTAACGTTAGACTTATATTTATATATTGATTAGGCAGAACAGCTACTCAAAATACTTACAAGTTAACACACCCCTTCACTCGCTTCCAGGCTGCTATTTTATATTTGTCAGTTTTGCTCCTCTCAAAACACCCTCTATTACACCTTTTTTTCTTCAGAATATGAGGTTGCCAGCGCCATATATATTTCTGAATTGAATGGGCTGGACTTTCTTTTCTGTGATGTGTCACTGCAACTTTCATAAGAGGCTGCCATGATGATGATCATAAACGAAAGTGCAAAATTTTTTCCTGCTATAGTTAGCAGAAAAAATGTGCTTACCGGTAAACAGCTTTATGAAATTAGGCCCAGGTAAGTTGAGTGAAGTAGACTTCAGCTATAATAAACAAGGGGTTTCAGACAGCCTCAGACAGGCAACTCTTAGACCTCAAAATATAACCTCACAAAAGTGTGTCAATCAACAGTGTATGTACTCACCAACAATATACAAAATGTCAATGCATGAGCAACTGGAGCTAGCAGTCACCAAAGATGAACAGGGATTCTACTGTCAAACTTCCAGATGAGCGAACCTGGTCTGTCATGCTGCTCCGACCCAAAGTTCATGAAACTTCCCCTGAGAGAAACACACCGGCTTATATAAAAGGGACATCACGGACTGGAATGTGCCCAATTGGGCTACAAAATGCGTTTTAAACGACATTATATTTACATGTACATGGAATAGTATCTTAAAGTAAAATATAAAAGTCCACACCACCATCCTTTAAAAACTAAGCGTTTTGGGTTTATTTATGCAAGAACAAATTTCCGGAGTCAAAATAATGTCAACTGCACTGCACAGTGGTTCACATCTTGCAGACATGTAAGAAACAATTTCTGTGTATTTGTAATGTGTATGCTGCATTGAATAGACACGACTTGAAACATGTAATGGGTATACCACAAAATGTCAATGACGTTCGATGTAAAAATACCATACCGGTTTTTGTTGTTGTCTTTTCTCAGGAACGGTAAGAATTAAGTTTAATTCCTTTTAAACCAGACCTTTCAAATAGTGCTTATAAACAATCCAAAACATGACATTTTCGGGGATTTCAGGCCTTAATACCCTCTATAAGTTGAAGTAATCGTCCAGTTAGGCATGTAAGGCTGTTTTGAGTCATTAAAAAGCAAATCCCTGAGTGTGAAAGACAACCTGAACGCTTGCATGCCGCCAAAGTGCGCAGAGGTCTTGGTGTGTCTGAAATGTTGGGTTGCTACATGTATTTGTACAGCTCCAAGGCATGGAGCCATTAACCAGCATTACCTGATAGTAATCCAGGCAGAATCAAAACTAAAAGTTAAAGACATGCCCCTTTACAGGTATGAAAATAAAAACAATTATTACATGATAACTCGACATCTACAGGCACAACTTTTTCTTTCAGTTGATAGTAATCAGGCAAGCAGTTTTATCTAGTGAATATAAGGGGATCCAGGATTCAGGATGGTGTACATAGTTTTTCTAAATGCCAACATAAAGTCAACAAATGTCATCACACATGTGTACATGTACCATAGAGCAATATTAAATAGCTCTATGACATGTACCAAACTCCCCCATCCCCATCCTTAGCCTGCGTCTACCCCAGATCCCCCACCCAGCCCACCCTCCCCTACCAATTCCCACACTCCAACCCTCCCCCTACCCATCCCACCCCATAACACTAAAAGATCAAACCACAAGCACATGTGTATATACATATGACAGCTGCCAAAGACATTGCGTCAAGGATAATACACGATGAACGTGCAGATCGTGGGTGAAAATGGCCCAAAACAACCATTCAATCCTCCATGAACGGCACCCTTCAGAGTGTATTATCCTACTTAAAACCCTCCTCAAATTCCTCTTTTAGCTTAAAGGAAGGCCTTTGTACATCTTCATTGTTGAATTTGTTAAAATGGGAAAATCATTTTAACAATGACGTCACATCTCTGTTATTATTTAGTGAATTTATTACATTTGAAGAATTTAAAAGAACAGCAGTTTTCGAGCTGCCACAGTGGTTAACGAGATGAGCTATGGATTGTAAGGTCCCCGGTTCCCTGCTATGTCAATTTTTCCAACGACCATTTTTTTTTTAAGTGGAGGGAAAAATTACTGAATTATCTATCAGTGGCTTCACTCACCCACAGGAAAAAAATCTGTGCGCAGTACACCATTCATCAGAAGTTGAATGGCGTGCCATGCTCCATTTATAAGGGAATAAATGTGTGCTTTGGAGGTTTTAATCACTCTGTTTAAGACTGCAATAGCCTTGGTCAAGACGCTTGTCATTATTCGTCCTTACGTACGCGGTAATCAATCAGTGGCATATATCCTCACAAGCTATGCAGTGCACGTAAAAATACAGTGCGAACAGCGACCTCATGCGGCCACTATTTTATGCAAATCAGTTTGACCTGACCGAGTGCCTTGGTTCAATCGTCCATGTAAGGTTTTTGGGGTGGTGCTCATTAGGCTAATAGCATAAGCTGACCTTAAATTTTTTTTTTTATTGGTCGATCGTTGCGTGGAAACTATCATAGCGGTGAAAGGTATAATACATAGACACACGTTGTGTGACTCACATTTTTGCACACAGCACCAATGCACAAAAATGTGGTTTCTAACACGTCTGCAAAAGGCGAATAGCCGCAAATAATTTGATGACGTCGGGATTTACTAAGGTGTGATTGGACACTCCAAATGCGGCCCAGCCTACACCTACAGTGTATCTGTATTCGCATATCAGGTCGTGCGCTAGAAATCTAGCGCAAAATAAAGAAAAACATAAGCTTTCGTCAACGATTAAACCAAGGCGCTCGATGAGGTCCAACTGATTTGCATAAAATAGTGGCCGCATGAGGTCGCTGTTCGCGCTGTATTTTGACATGCACTGCATAGCTTGCGAGGATATATGCCGCCGATTGATTACCAAGGCTAAGACTGCTTGGAGTCTGAATGCTGATAATTACCCGAACCGAAGGCGAGGGTTAATACCGACAAAGCACATATTTATTCCCGTTAATAAATACCTTTTTGGTCAAAAAAATCAAAACTTTTCGGTCAAAAAAACCGAGTTCAACAAGTTCACTTCACGTTTTTTGAAACACCCATCTAGCTATATAATGGAGTGTCCAGCTCGCAAGTAAGATGTAAACAACTGCTTTTATGCGCGTGATGTCGCGCAGAATGCAACTGGGGCATTGCGTTGCGAATTTAGGACTATAAAATAAAGACTCGCTGGTAGTATTGCGCAGTATTGTGAACGTTCAACCAATAAAACAGTAAGAGGCACTGGATTTTTAAAATTCAAAATTTCATGTGACACTGGAAAAGTGTTTAAGACCAGCTAGCCATGTCTTTTATCATCCGTTTAAGACCGGCCATGTTACGGGCTCTCGACCGATAGGAATGTTGCAGCTTTGAAGGTTAAGCTCCGAATGGTAAGAAACGGATAAAAAAACGTTTAATATATAACTACTTATGAGTCATTGCTCATCTGCTCAATTCATTGCTCAATTACTCGTGAGTCACTGCTCATCTACTCATGAGCAATGAAACTGAGTAGATGAGCAGATGAGCAGTGACTCATGAGTAGATAAGCAGTGACTCACGAGTAAATGAGCAATGAATTGAGCAGATGAGCAATGGAAATGAGTAGATGAGCAGATGAGCAGTGACTCATGAGTACATGAGCAGTGACTCACGAGTAAATGAGCAATGAATTGAGCAGATGAGCAATGGAAATGAGTAGTTGAGCAGACAGCAGTTACTCATGAGTAAATGAGCAATGAATTGAGCAGATGAGCAATGACTCATAAGTAGTTATATATTAAAAGTTTTTTTATCCGTTTCTTACCATTCGGAGCTTAACCTTCAAAGCTGCAACATGAATGTTATTTCTGCAGTCAAACCTTATGCTTGTCACACGTGTGACAAAAGCTTCGGACAGAGATATAACCTACAGAGGCATGCAGAAAATGTACATGCTGTAGATGATTCTGAAACAGATGAAGTTGAGGAGGATCATTCTGAACCTGATTCTAAAAGCCGTAGATTTGAAGATCCTGCTATGGAAAACTATGAAACTGTATCTACGTATGATGAAGACGAAGATCTTGAAGACGATGACTCGGAGTCCGTGACGGAGGTGGAAGATGACGAATTATCTGATGAAGACGAGTCTAGTTCTGATTTGGAAGACAACACCGCATATCGAGACTGGTTGAAAGAGTCCATAGAAGTCACCCAGGAGATGTGGAGTGACAAATATGAAAAGTACATTAACGAGGATATGAGTAAAGATCAGGCCAAGGAAAAGGCCAACAGGAAGACCCTTTGGGCAGTCAAGCGAATCTTTTTCAACAAATACAAGGACTTTTTGTCAAGTTACCTATATCTGAAAGATAGTGGCACTCATCAAGAAATTGTGGAAGATATCGAACGAAAATTGATTACGGGCATGAAATTGAACACAGCTCTGAACAGAATTATGCCTAGATACCGTAACACTTTTGACGGACTGTTCCAACAAGATGAGGATGAAGAAAACGATGAAGACAGTGATGATTAAAGACTAGTAGTTTCAAAAAGATTACTCATTTTTAAAAATAATCTAGCAGTGTCTTATAGGAAAAAAAAATAATATTTGAAATAGTCGCCCCTTATCACTCTTATACAGTAATTCCTTATGGCTATTTTTTTTTTTACCATGGACGAATAAGTTCATACTAGTATTAAAAATATGTTACATTGGGTCCGCTGACGCTTGAACTTAGAAGAAGAGCATGCCCATATGCATGGAGATTTAAACTTGTGTGGGTTCTATATACGATGTGGCTTTAAAAAGACAGTGTATTGTAAACCGGTATATGTCAGGTACAAAGGACAATATTATTAGATTCAGGTCTGAAATAGGCCTGTCTGTTTACGGTTTTGACTGGAACCGGGTACCCTTTCCCGGTCAAGGTCGGGTACCCGGGTACCCGTAACCCCCCCCCAAAAAAAACCCCCCCGGAAGTAAGTGTTTTGATTTATAACGCCAACCCGGAAGTAAGTGCTTTCGTTTCTAAACACCCCATTGTGTTCTGTAATGCTTTCTGTGCAGGTATACCGATTTGCAAATGGTCGATTTGTCAGTAAAATATAGGAATTGCAAATTCAATGTCTATTATATACAGCACCTGAGTTTATGAAATAAAAGAAACGTAAGGTGATTAATAAAGAGTTTAAAGACATCGATGACAAAGTCGGCGAACTTCCAAGAGTTCCCCGCTGGGTATTCTTCAGTGAGTCCATCCTGCCGTCACCTCAGCCCAGGTGGACCACACTGACTGCAGCACTGGTTGTAGCATGCATGCAGCGCGCGCAGCGTGGTCGGCTTACTCGGCTAGGCATGCGTACGACGACCGGTGTCATATGAAAATCAGACTCGTATGAAAATCGGACTCTTTTTCCCTTTTATTGGTTAAACCCTTTCACGTGACCAGTCCCTCTCCTAATTATCTATGCATAAGCATGCGCAATACCACCAATGAGTCCGTATTTCAAAAAACCTAAATTCATGCTACACCGGCACGGCAGTCAGTACTAACGGTAAGTGAAAGCACGTGCACAAATGGTGTCGTGCTGTATCATAGGGACCCGGCGCATGCATCTTGTACTACGCTAATCGCTAGTCAAGTTGCACTTCT